CTATTACTTTAAAAGAAAAAATCCTGCACACTACTCTTGCTAATTATCACAAGGTTATTAAGGCAAGGCAAGTTTATTTATGTAGCACATTTCAACAACGTTCAGTCCCTCTGAACCTTAACTTAGCGAGAGTTGTGCGAGGGATTTTTTTCTTTCCAAGTAATAAGTTAATGGGAAATATAAGGACGTGGGTTTTGTGGACGCTCGATTGCACAGTTTTCTCTCTTTGCACGGTACAAACGCTGCCTCTTCGTCATTACAGATGTTCACAAGCAGTATAAAAGTTTATGTTTACTGTGTCATGGTTGATCCAAACTATATCTTTCCAATAATTGTTTACAATTTTTACTTTCTTTTGCAATGAGAGTTGTCTTATCTCTGCCTTTTTGCTTGGCAATTAAAGTTTACAAATGAGGGAAAACTGTTTGTTTTTTTTATATTTCAGACCGACTGTTTCCTTGGCTGCGTTTTCATTTGTTCAATAAATTGATGAGATTGTAAAAAAATAAAATAATGTATGGAAAAACGGCCTGATTCAGAGAGGCGTAACCATTTTTGTCTTCATCAGCATTGCGTGCGTAACTGCTGCTCCCACCTTTAAGCAAATATCGAACAATAACAGTTACATCACTGTTCAAATTTGATCGATAAATACATAGGGATGCAACCCTCAATATAAAGCTCTCATCAGAACCTTTTCAGACTCATCAGCTTCCGACAAATCCAAACAATCCCTCCTCATGACGACGGTATGTACTCAAACCTTTGAACAATAATTTTCTTCTAAAGTTTGGAGGTTCATTAAATGTCTTTTCTTTTTCCACGCATCTTTAATTGTGATTGAGTGTTTTTTTCAATACAAAAAATAGAGTACACATTTATTTGTTGTTACAATTAAACTTTAAAATGTCTTAAATTTGTCAGAGTAAATTACATTTACAACCAAAAGTTTACTGAATTTGAAAAACAAGTCTCAAAGCTCACTGCATAATTTACAACCTAATGACTTATTGTCCCCTTTGTACAATTAGAAATGGTGGTTAAAAAAAGGTTAAAACCAAATATTAAAACAGTGATTGCTTCATTCAAATAATGATTTAAACTATTACATAAATACAAATATTGTTGATATGATCAAATAATTTAAAGTCCACTACAAGCCTCATTTCAACTTAAAATAATGTGGTAAAAATTGACATTTCACTGGGATATTATCTTGATGTTATTTAACAAATGAAGATTAGTTGCTTCAAAAAAAATGTTCCAAACTTTGTTGTAGACTAAAAAGTTTCCATTCATCTTGATGTCAAAATTGCTCCTTTGTGTGATTCTGGATCATTGACAATGAGACACAAACACAAAGACTTTTCACTTTTCACTTTTCACTTTTCACTTTTCGCATTTCACTTTAAAATAAATTAGTTTCATATTCTTTCTTCATTTTTGGGTTTTCTCATTATAAGAACAGCTTTTCATTTTTCTAATTCAGACAAATCAAATTTTGTATTTCCTTTCAGAGCTTAGGCTGTCTTCAAAAAGGTTTGGATGAATAGAATGCGATAAGTGCATCGATTCACCGCAGGCTCCATGAAGCATGCACAGGTGTCGGTCATTTTCTCTTCCAGGCTTCTCTCCGTGTCTTTGTTTTCCTGCTGGGACTGGTTTCCCTGAGTCACTCGTGCAGATTCAAGAAATTAAACATCAAGTTGGAAGAAGGAAAGATCATTTTTCCAAAGGGTAAGTCGACAATATCGTAAATGGCAAACAGCTTTTTTCAGTTTTATTTGACAGAGGTTGGATCCAGTTGATGAAATAAACACACCAACCACATTATATTTAATAAATGTATGTGAGCTTGAGAAGAGTGAACATTGATTTGATTTCTTGACATGCAGGCTGTGTGGATGATGATGGGAATGACCGTGCTTATGGAGAGTCCTGGAAAAAAGACTGCAATGTATTTCAATGCATTCAGCTCGTGGGGATTCTTTGCATGACCGGGTAAGATTAAAAAAAAAAAATGCTTTGATTCATTAAAGTGCTTTTTAAACATTTACACAAATCTTCTCCTGGGGGCTAGAATACAATTATTGATGACAGGGAGGGGGATCGACCCTCATGCATCACTTATTTAACGATCCAACCTCAATTTCTTTAAAGATTTATTTTTATGCCTTTATTGGAGACAGGACAGTGGATAGGCTCAGAAATCAGAGAGAGAGGGAGAGAGAGAGAGTGGGGAGTGACATGCAGGAAAGGAGCCAGAGGTTTGATTCATAATCCAGATCACCTGCTTCGAGGACGACAGCCTCTGTACATGAGGCACACAAACTAACCACTAGGCCAATTTTTTTAAAAACTGACACTTTTCAGAGAGAGATTTTTCCAGCAGATCCTAAACTATTGAAATGCATTAGATTGTAAAGATGTTATAAGTAAAATGGCAGCAAAGTGTACTTGATTAGTCTCACTGTAATCATCCAGGACGAACAAAGTTTGAGAGAAATTAAATAAAAATATGTCAGAATATATTCTGTGTTTACACAAGCGGACATATTTTTTCCTATTAGCCACAGGTGGACTATATGCTCAGGAAAGTAAGACTGTGAGAACACCTTGATGCATTCCTGCTTTCTCACACTGCAGTTAGTCTTAACTCAACCCCCCTCTCAGTCCTAATCATCTTTGTGCATCAATCCAAGGAGATCATGTTGTTTTTCAAAGAGTGTAATGTTCCTTCTCTTTGCCATTCAGGATCCCTTCTCCCAGAACTCTTACCATTCCTGCCCACGTGAGATGCTGGTCGATAAGAAAACCTGCAGCTTCAAGTTGGTGGAGAAAGCAAACAACTCAAATGAGTGTAACATGTTCTACATGTTTTCAAAACATTAAGTCCAAACTATCGATGGATGGCGTTTACACACACTGAATAACCATTAAAGAGAGACTCATCAACATTCCTGCCAGCTCACATACCTCATACAAGCAGGATGTTTGTTTGGAGGTTATTCCTCCCGGGGTTCACAGTTTACAATGTGTGCATTCATCTTAAAAATCACAATAAAGTACTAAAAAAAAGGAGGACTCTATTAAACTATTAAAAAACAACTCAGTGAAAAGAAATAACCAAACCAAACAGCACCCCTGGAGTGTTTCTGAGCACAATAACAAATCCTAACATGAGTGTGTGTTTTCTAAACTGAACTAATAGCCCAGTCCACACAAAACAAGCACCTCATCACATTTTAAGAAAAATCCTTATGAGAAGCAAAGATAATAAACAGTTAACAGAGGTAAAAAATAAAAACCTTTATGGCTCCTTCACTTCAGGACAGTCTATAATCGGTGGTAAATCAAAGGTGTAGCACCCTCCTCTTGCTTTATTGAATATAATTTAAACAAAAATTAAATCAGAATTTCCAAGTACTGTCTTTACAAACCATTGGGTCTCTTATTACATCCATAGTACACAGTCTATTACATTTTCTTCAGCAGCTACAAACTCGGGCATTAAGAACAACAATAAAGCCGTTTTAAATTATTATCAGTTATAAAATATTGACGATCTTATCATGCTATTTATGTTGTTTTGTGTGTCTGTCAACAATTCTCACAGCTTTTCGTGCATGTTTGTGCAAAACATGGTGTGTATCATTTTTCCCCTGCTTAAGAAGAGGACATTTATACAGTTCACAGAGAGGTCAAACAATGCTTGAAAAGAACTGCAGAGTGACTTGTTGACTTGCTGTGTGATGTGTTGTTATAGCTATCCCTATCAATTAAAAAAAAGTATCAATATTATTCGATCTTTTGCCTTCTAAGAATCAGAATCAGAATCGGGGTTTATTGCCAAGTACATTTACACATACGAAGAATTTGACTTGGTGTATTGGTGCTAAACAATTAACAAGGAAATAAAGCAGAACTGGCAACAACTTAATAATACAGTACAAGAAGCTGTTACAATATATAAAATAGAATTTAAAAATGTAAAATATAAAAAGTAAAAATAAAAAACAAAATGTACAAAAGGTGCAATGTAGGAGCTGTGCAGTGGACTATGAGAAAAAATCTTTCAGTGTATGTAACCTACTCACAGAGTGCATGTAAGGAAAATAAAAAAAGGGTTATATAGCAGCTGAACATGACAGACTTTAGCTTCAAACCTGTTACTTTCTCCTTATTCCTTCTCTGTGTTGTCATCGTTTAAAGACTAGTCATTCGATTAAATGAGAGTTAAGATAATTGCACTTTAAAGAGCCATTGTATCTCACAGTGTAAATTATATCAACTAAAAGTTTTGCAGCCGCAATTTATTTTGCAATTGGATCAAATGAAGGCTCACAAACTTCTGAATTATCTTTATGGGTGTAGAGGTGTGATGGTAAATCAGCAATTACACCGAACATAGAAATAGCACATACTGCCAAATCATACAATCACAATCAAGTTTCTTCTTCTTCTGCTCATAAAAAAGATCAGCTGTTGTTCATGAGACAAAAAAGATTTCCTTTAAAAAGTTTAGGGACTCTTCTTAGGTTTCGGTTGAAGTTGACTGAAGTGCATAAAAAAAAACCCTGCAGAGACCATACAACATGCACCGTGTCTTTCATTTCTTTTTAGTCTTCTCTCTGGGTCTCTGTTGCTTTCTGGGACTGGTCTTTACATGTTTGGCACAGCTGAAGTCCAACACATGCAATACATGGTGTTCATATTCAGTATAACAAACAAAGACAGACTCATCAACTTTGCTTTTTATCACACTTGTAATTGTTCTAAATTCACTGAAAATAAAAATGTAAACTTGGTCAAACTCTTTTACTTCTTGCCAGCTCATATGCATCGTCATTTTCAGGATGTAATTGAGTGAATCCACCACTGTGTGACAGCAGAGCACAGGGCTCTGAGGGTCTCTGGCACCCAAAGGGGCTCCGACAGCCAGATATCAGCGCTGCTCCCCTCTCTGCTGACAGAAAGATTCTGGATGTTGTGATGTTCAGCTAGTCCTTCTGCAACTATCATCTTGGTGGATTCTCTTTTCCCTGTCATCTTGGCTTCAAAGTGACACTCTTCTCATCAGCGCACCACTCATGTAAGTGCTTTTATTATGATGCACTATAATGATCTTCTTCTTCTGCACAAAATGTCCAGGAAAGTCATTGTAAAGCTGCTTTTTTGTTGTTGATCATTGTTAAATGCATGCTTTGTTGTTGCTGTGCTCTGTTGTCGCTCTGTTTCTGTAGATTTTTAAACCCTTTACAATTTAAAATCTTTTTTAATGATGTGTTCAAATAATCCCAGTGTAAAAATGTGCATCCAGTTTATGCAGGAAAACTGAGTGGGAAAAAAGGGAAGTATGGGGAAAAAATGCATCTTATTTGCATTAATGTTTAATGTGTGAACGTGGAGAAAGAGACAAAAAAGCATCAGCTGACAGCATGGTGATAATGTCTTGTTAGGTTTCACCCACTCAGTCCTTGACAGCCCCAGCAGTGAATAATGAGGCACGAGCCATCATCTCAGGTTGTGCACATTAAGGTGCCTGCCGCATGTTTGCCTGCTTCTCCACATGCAGGAGGCTGCAGGAGAGAAACTGAACCAAACATCCCCACAGACTGAGCATGTAGGAACTGCAAAATATAGACTCACTAGGTGTGGTGGATGTTTTTGCAACATGAACTCACAATGATGTTCCTGGAAATATCAGTTCTACAGGTTAAAAAAATAAAATGAAAGAGGTGATTTTGAAAATGTTATCAAATGGGAAAAGCAACTCCATTAATAGGGTAAGAAGCTTTTGTATGAAACTGCAAAGAGGGGAACATTTACAAGCTGGATTTCCCCTTTTCATCCTTGTAATTCATTAAAGTCTAAATCACTCAATGGTTCAGGTTCAGGTTACTTTATTTGTAACCGTATAGGTGAATTTGGTATGAACTACCCATTTTCATTGATGCAAACATATTCAACATCATTTCTGATTATGTGGTTTAATGCGAGCAAAAAAAGACCAATCCTGCAGGATTGCCCATACCTATACATTCTCAATTCTTTTATCCATGTATAGAAGAAAACTATTTCACAGTAAAAGAAAATGCAATTAATTAAAAATCAATTGTGCATTTACATCACACTTATATATAATATTACAGCTGTAATATCTAGAAGATAATGATAATGTTGAGCAACATCTCAGTGTGACAACAAATGCACAAAGAAAAATGATGGCCGTGTGGATTAAGAGGCAAATAAATGAAATTCAATTGTTGTATACGACATCTATTCTCAGAATGAATACAGGTATGATAACCGAGGAGAATCTGGTTCAAGGAAACTGACATTTAGAGAACAGTGAGAGCACATGGTTTTCTCAGAGATGGAGGACACTTCAGCAGGTGAAAATGATTCACCATGTCACAGTGATCCTTATCCAGCAATATTTTGCTGTGGAGGCTATGAGCACATTGACATGCTGGCTCCTTCAGTATCATTGTAACATGACAGGTTCTAATCTGCACACTAATTGGCTATTTCTCTTCTTTCCCCTGCTGGTTTGGTTCCCTCCACTCTCTTTGCAGCTGTTTTTCTACATCTGGTTACTGGTGACATTGTACTTTTTCCCCCCTCCGTGAACAAAGGATGAACAAACCCTGCCCGCAGCTCACTCAACACACTGACAGAGCGGGTTAGAAACAATGCATTGTGAAGGGACTGATAGCTAAGTGTGTGTGCGGTTAATAGAAAATGACAGGCTCGTCTTCCAAATGGTAGAGAGTTCAGGAGAGGGAGCCAACATCCATTTTTAGGATCTTGACAATGTCGTGCCCTTTCACTTTGACACACTGCCTGCATGGGAAGAAGTCTCTGCTCAGTTGCTCAGTAATTTTATTGTCATTAAGCTTTTATGTTCAGTCCTGAAACTTTGACTGGAGGGTTCATTTGTGGGAGGAGAACTGACACGTGTCAGAGATCTTCAAATAGATAGAAGAAGAAAAGAGCGATTAAGAAGAACAAAAACAAAAACTCAAATTACTGAAGAATCCTGTAATTTGCTCATACGATTCCTTGCTGTCGTGTTTTTTTTTCACCCAGTTTGTTCTAAAATATAATAAAATATACCAAAAAAAAGTTGTATAGTTAGGTAGTAAAGTTAATTATAGATATCCATAATGTATATCCAGTAAAGCTTTTTGATGTGTTATTTCTGTATTATTGATAAATTGTACTTTATCTGTTATTTTGACAGCCTTTTTTTGCAATCTATCCAAAAGTCGTTATGAAATATCAATAAAATCCAAAATTGTTGACCATGTGTTTGAGCAACAGTAAAAGTAAAGGGATTGCTAAAGTCAGGGGGATATGTACTCTGGGGACCAGTGTTGACCAGTTTTCATAGCATTCAATTAAATAGTTTTCATGATATTATAGTCTGGGCCAAGGTAATGATTTGATACACAAACTAACATTGCAATCCCTTGTCGACTTAAGATAATAAAACAAATATTGTGGTATTTGTGGAAATTTCAATTAAGCCACAAAAATATGACACTGAATTTAAAGTCAGAGGACTTTAGGACTGACTAAAACCAGACAATAAAGGAAATGGTCTCTTTAAGATGTAGACTCTATAAGAGAAAAGGACGTAGCCGCTCTGACATAACCAAGAGTTTTGTGAAAACACATTTTGAGGCCTCCAATATTTTGGCCAATGTTCCCTTCTCGAACCAGAGGAGACCACATTTGGACGGGTTGGATGCACATTGTTACACACACTGATGTACAGGACTCTTACATTAGATAAATAACTCAGTTTTCTTATTCAGTTTTTCTCTAAACGGGACCATCATTTACAAAATGAACATCATTAAGTATTGAAGTAGACTTTAAACCTGTTTGACACAATAGACTCATAAGGACAGTGTTTACTGAAGTAATGAATCAACTCAAAAGTAGGGTCATCTGGCTTCAATCAAACTTCCTTTTGCAAACAGTAGTCTCCCCCAGGTGGCCATCGGAAAGAATGACAATTCCACATTGGCTTCACTTCTGAAACCCGAGTGTTCATCCATCTATGCCGTCTGTGCTTGAACCTACCCAGTTTGTTTTTTTCAGATTAAAGGATGTTTTTAAAAAACACTTTGGCCGACGCTGCAAATGCATGTTCTCTAAGAGGGTGAGGTGTAACAGCACTAAAACCATTTTAACATTTTTACTCCTGATCTTGATGACAAGCCCGGTAAAATGGAGGGGGGGTCTTCTGAAGCAAGTCATGATGTAAAAAGAAGGACACAGAAGGGGATGCAGCAGAGCCAGCCATATATACGACCATAATGAGATTATTTGCCGAAATCACAATATAAAAAAAAAAGACCAGAGAAGAGCATACTGGAAAAAGAAAACATAATGCAGTAGTCTTATTACATGTGCAGAGATTGTACCGGCCGAGTGCGTACAGTCTGTGGTCGTGCATCAATCAGGGAATTGCACATCATTACATCCTGCTGGGTTCTCACATCAGCTCACTCTGACTTTCTGCAGGAAAAAATTCTATTGAGCTGGCAGGAGAAACTCTGGATAGAATCTGAGTGAACATTCAGCTGTTTGTGTTAAGTCGTGCGGCTCATCCTGAAAACTTCAGAGGAGTTTTTCAGAAGTCTGAAAGCACTAAATGTGTGTCTTACGACAAAGCAGCTGCACTCAGACACCCTTCATTGGCACAAAATCAAACCAAACCGGAATTCCGACAAAATATCAGATCCCTCAGGATGGACGTTAATAAATGGTATAAACAGCCTCTTTGTAGACGGAGCTTAACAGCATGCAGTCTTTTTCGTCGATGTCGATATGATTTCAGAGCTTTACAAATTGGAGAGTAAGCAAGAGCAAGCTTTGTGTTGAACATTTTGAAGAATGTCAAATCCACCTCTGGATGAATCCACCAAGCACATAAAAATCCGGTGCCTATAATGACTTCTGGTGTAGGATGAAAGATAGTGGAAGCCGTGCCCCCAGAGCAATTTGTAGAGTGCAGGTATCCAGGTGTGCAGGCAGGCAGGCAGGCAGGCAGGCAGGCAGGCAGCCAAGGCATCCAATTATTTCCTGGATGCCAGATTTCATTTATTGATGCTGTCGAATCTGAAGTGAATGTCAATAAACACACCAAGAAATGGATCACATATGAATTGCCTAGCAGTTTATAGCCCTTTATAAATCCTCACACATAGCATCCCTGCAGGGTTTAATCTCTCCTCAGCCTCAGGATCCACCTCTTACCTTTCTTTCACTCTGTGCAAAAAAAAACAACCTGAATTCATTCTTCACTAACAGATTTGTTGACCTCCAAGAGCTTCTCTGCTCATGAATCACTTTTGTTCTCCTCTGTGCTCTCTCTCTCTTTCTTTGTCTCAGATGCACGCTTTTGCAGGGCTGCAATGGACGGTTGGATCCCCGGGGCTTGTGACACTGAAATCTTGGTGACATGTCCTTGAGTGGCAACACGAGCTGGTCTTCTGCATCGTCGACGGCTCTTCCTCCGTCCTTCAACACCTCCGCCGCGACGCACTCCCTGCCACGGGAGGAGGGAGGGGCCCGTCATGAGCCCGCGCAGGAATGGCTGGAGAATAAGACCCAGCTCCTCTCAGACCTTGCTGTTTTCGGGCACGATGAGCTGTGCCACATGTCTCCTCTCCTCACGGTGTGCTTGGTCATTTGGTACAGCGTCACGATGGTGCTGGGGATTGTCGGGAACATCGGCCTTATTTGCATCATCACCCGTCACATAGAGAAAGTCAACGTCACCAGCATTTTCATCTGCAACCTGTCATTCTCTGACATCCTGGTGTGCGTCTTCTGCCTCCCTTTCACTGTCATATACACACTCATGGATCATTGGGTGTTTGGATCCCTGCTGTGCCGTCTGGTGCCGTTCATCCAGTGTGTTTCTGTGACTGTGTCAGTGCTGTCTTTGGTTTTCATTGCTCTAGAGAGACATCAGCTGATAATTAACCCCTCCGGATGGAAGCCAAGCATCCCTCAAGCCTATATTGTGATATTGCTTATTTGGATTCTTGCTGGACTCACCTCGTCGCCTTTCTTGGCCTTTCAGCTCCTCACAAACGAGCCCTACACCAACGTAATCAATCCCCCGTCTCCTCTGCATCACCTGTCCTCTCCTGGGGCTCATCTCAATACATCTCCACCTCCACCTGTTTCCTACACTTTCAAAAACTCATCCACTCAACACACCGTCTTCTCTTACGTCGCAGCCTCTCCACACATGGAGGCCTGTTTAGAGCACTGGCCGTCCCAGCAGCACAGGCTCGCGTACACCACATGGCTCCTGCTGTTCCAGTACTGCGGTCCACTCTTGCTGGTACTGCTTTGTTACGTCAGAGTTTTTGTGCGGTTACGCCACCGCAAAGACATGCTGGACCGTGCCAGGACCCCGGAGAATCAGCACATGACCCACAGCCGCAGAATCACCATCATGCTGGTCGCCCTTGTCACGGCCTTCGCTCTCTGCTGGCTGCCGCTCACCATCTTCAACGTGGTGTCAGACTGGAACCAGGAGGCTCTGCCAGTCTGCCACCACAACCTTCTGTTCTCCCTATGCCACCTGCTGGCCATGTCCTCCACCTGCATTAACCCCATCATCTACGGCTTTCTCAACTCCAACTTCAAGCAGGAGGTGAGCGAGATACTGCTCCACTGCCGCTGCCGACACCTAGAAGAGGAGTGTGAGAGGTTACCCATGTCCACCGTGCATATGGAAATGTCTCGAACATCTGTGCCTCTGAGCAGCAGGAGCAACTCTGTCTGACTCTGATGTCACAACATACGCGTGTACTATGGTGTAGTTATAGGACTAACATGTGTTGTTCGTTCTGTAGAGACTTTATAACCTATTGTCATTGTTTTGAGGTGAAGTGTGCAGTGAAATTCTGGTTGACCTTTTACTTGAGTAGCTCTGAATTATAAAAAGAAACTTCCTATATGCTTATATCTGACTTTGTCATGGACTGTATCTTGTACTGAAAGGTAAAACAAAAATGTATTGTGATGTGAGATGTTTTTTCTATATGAATGTTGTACTGCTGTTGTATTTTTTTTACATTTAATGATCTTTATTTATGAAACACTTATTGTTTATTGTGTAATCTTCTACAGTGAATATATTGTGATTCATTTGATTTACAGAAATGACATTTCAACATCTTAGATGAGTTTAATAAAGAAATGTAGATATAGCATCAAATGTGTTTATACCATCTGTCTATGTAGCCTTTTTAGTCCAAAGGCTGTGTATGACTGTGCATATCATAAATGCACAAATTTCCCCCACAGGGGATCAATAAAGTTTATCTTTATCTTTATCTTTATGTGTAGTATAGAGCTGTTCAGATCACCTGGACACATGCTAATGCCAGGTGTAAACAAGGTCTTTTTGGAAAACTGTATCCTGGAGGAATCCTTTCTTTGTGCCCGGTTGAATCATCCAACAGTAGAACATTTAAGAATTTGTTTTCTAAATATTACCTCAAATGCCTTAATCTCTTTTCTGTAATAAACAATATGAGATACAGATCTGTGTCTCTGCTGCGTGCAAAAAAATACAGCCATGCAAATAACCTCAGAATTGATGAATGCTAAGATTAGCAAAATTAATTTAGTATTCTGGGTATTGCACTTTTATATTGTTTGATACGTCTGAGATAGTTTGTTTTTGGAAAGACAATGAGGTGTCTGAGAAACAGATGGAAGAAAGACAGACTTTGAAATATCTTTGGGGCTAGGTAGTGACTGTAAATGAACACCAGGGAGCCTGATGACTCACAACAACCTAATAACTTGTCGTCTTGACAGCAAATTGCACCTGTTGACTACTAAGTCTGAATTGGTCACCTTACACTGTCTGTAGGCCTCCAAGTCAGGTTTTGTATTTTTTTAAACATAGTCATTTGTTTGAGACATAGATTGTAATTAATAGTGGATGAAGCCTGAGTGATGTCACCCATTGGCTACTTTAGGGGGGCTTTGGAAGCCCATCGGTTGCAGTTGCCATGCTGAAAATGCTCCCTCAACCTTACGACAGAGCTGGAGCTGAGGCGTCTTACGCCTTCTGACAAACATCGCCCATCTGTCCATCAGGTCAGCCCTGGCATAATTATGAATAACTATATACGGGGCAAATAAAACCAATTACGTTTCTTATACCAGGCTGTAAATATGTTAATTTCCTGCTGTCAAAATATATGAATTTGTGTTGATTATGGGACTTTTGCAGCCAGCCTCAAGTGAACATTCGACAAACTGCAGTTTTTTGCACTTCTGCATGGCTTCATTTTTCAACACCAAAGGTTGCAGCTTAGTTTGAAACTGGTTAAAAAAACAGAATAGATAGATAGATAGATAGATAGATAGATAGATAGATAGGTAGATAGATAGATAGATAGATAGATAGATAGATAGATAGATAGATAGATAGATAGATAGATAGATAGATAGATACTTTATTGATCCCGAGAGAAATTCTAATGAAATTCTAACATATACCTGTTTAAAGAAATTTGTTAAAAATTAAAAAAAGACTACTCACATCACCAATTATTCATCCAAGGAGCCTTTTGATGTGATCATATATCCATATATATAGATATATAGAATCCAAACTTGGGTTATCTGTTGTTGTTTTTTTGTTTTTTAACCATTTAAGGTGTCAGGCAGGCTGATAATGAAAAAAATAAATATTTTTTGACAGAGAAATGCTGTTGCCTGTCAAGAGAAACAGAAACGTATTGAATTAAACTCCTAAAAGTTCACTTTTAGTCATGAAGTAAGCTTCGTAGGGCCCTTCGGAGGGCTCAGCACTCTCCTGTTCCATCGCTTCTGGTTTGGAAGTGACGTCTGTTTCGTCTCAGCCAATGATGGCCGTTTGTCCCAGAATGCATTGCATCACAAACTGCACGCGCGAACTATGTACACTGTAGTGAGGTTCTGTTGGAAACTGCATATTTTAAACTTGTTTGCCGCATAAAGTAAGTTCACTGAATGGTCTAGATAACACCTTTTGATGTCTGCTTCCACGTCTTCGTGCTGTTAATAATCAAAAACGTTTGTTATGAGGCTGTATGACGGTTCATTACGTAAGTATTGACCCGTGTTAGCAGCGCTGATGCTAAAAGTCTGAATGTTTGTTAGCACGCTAAAGTAGCAAAACACTCAGTAAACAAACAATATAATACTGTTAACAGTGGTTTTGTTGGCTTAGTAATAAAACATTTAAGTTCTTACGTTAAAGTTGTTTATATTTGAACAAAAAAGTTTGACTTAATTAATGTAAGATAGTCAATAATAATATAATGTTGTTGTTGTTGTTGTTGTTCAGCTACAGAACTGTCAAATATCTGCCCTAAAGTCACAAGAAACTCAACTTTCCTGACATGTTTGACTCATTTTAAGAAATGTTAACACCTATTTTTTTGCGTTTACAAAAAACAACCTGCTGTAGATGTTGTGTTTGTTTGTTTGTGATCTAAACAAAAACAAGAAGTCACTGACAGTGGATAAAGAAGAGGGTGATGTGTCCTTGTTGCCTAAACAACAACAACAACAAACACTTTGAAACTTTCACCTGTACTCAGAGCTTATTTAAACCTAACACCTTTTATTTTAGTTGTACTTGTTAAGGCAATTCATCGAGTTTAAACTTCACTTACGATTGTCATGACAACAAGATATAGAAGTGAATAGAATAGAATAGAATGACTTTATTGATCCCAAACTGGGAAATTGTGGCGTTATCAAATCTAAACACAATATAATATTAAATACATAGTAAATAAGCACTAAACTAAGAATGGGAATCTATACAACCAGGATTTAACTAAGCATTACTAGTCTAAAATATGAAGATTGAATGTAAATGTGCAAAAACAGAGTTGTAAATGGACAGTATTGACATAAGTTAAAGTGCATGAGTGTAGACATATTATAAGCAGAAACTATACAATATAACGGTGAGTAGACAAATGAAGTGAACTTGAGTGCAGGGATAATTTGTAAATTTAAACATGTGCAGAACAGGTTACAGTATGGTGAGACAGATATTATCATGATGACAGTTCTCTGCTCGCATGAGGTGAGCTGTTGTACAGAGTTATGGCCTTCGTTAAGAAAGATTTCTTGTATCTGTCTTTGTGACAGTGGAGTTGAATCAGTCTGTTGGAGAAGCTGCTCCGCTGTTTGTCCAGTAGGGTGTGCAGAGGGTGATCAGGGTTATCCATAATGGATAACAGTTTGTTCAGACTCCTCCTCTCTGTCACCACTACAAAAGAGTCCAGTTTGCAGCCTATCACAGAGCAGGCCTTCTTAATGAGTTTGTCCAGTCTCTTAGTGTCACCAGCTCCAATGCTGCTCCCCCAGCAGACCACAGCAGAGAACAGTGCACTGGCCACAACAGACTGATAGAAGATCTCCAACATCTTGCTGCACACGTTGAAGGATATTATTGCCTTGAACCTGGACCATTCAACAAACTAAAAGGGCCTTATATTGCAGACCTTTAAACTTTAAAGGTCTGCCAGTGGCCACACCCTTCTGAGCCATAAAAGCAATCAGCAAAATCTTAAAATGAAAGCAAAACACACTGGAAGTCAGTGTAGGAGAGGTTAAAATGGAATAATATCGTTTCTACATTTAGTTGTTGTAGTCAAACAGGGTGAAATAAAATATAGCTAACAAATACAGTGATTGACTTGTTAACCTCCACCTTGGCTACACTAACCTTGAAAATGCACATCCTTCTTTTGCCTGTAAGATCATATTTTTAGTATTTCTATCCATTCAGTTAATCAAAGATCAATTTGATAATTGAAGAAAGTAAAAATCTCCTTATTTTCTTGTAGTTAGTAAACATCACTGAATGTGTAAGATCGTCTGCCACATCAAAAAATGTCTTCATTGTTTTTGTGTAGGTGATTCTTGGAGCAAGTAATGACCACAAGTCAAGTTCTTAAAGGTATTGTACATCATCAAAGCCTTCCTGCAGTTAATCAAGTTTAGAGTTCTTGTTTAATTTCATGGCTCTATTTAATGTGTGTGCAGATGTTGTTGCCTATGTTGATGTGTGGTCATCGGACAAAACAGCAAACTATGCAAAACCATTCGTTCAGCAGCTGCAGGAAATGGGAGCTCAGGTAAGACGGCCGAGAACAAAAACTCTTACATGATACTTTATTCAGTTAACTATTTACTATCTGTTGGGTCCGTGCCTCTTGGTTGATGGTGTTTTAGGGAGAGCGTCGGAGACAGTAAGTAAGCCAAAAGTGGACAGTCACATGTGTCTGGAGTTTATTACAAACTACACATCAACCTTACACAGCCCGGATGTACGGCTACTATTTTATCATACATGAGCAAAATAGTGTCCAAACGAACTCTCATGTCACTGTTGAGAGGCAAAAGAAAAGTAGGAGCTCGGTTACAGCAGCCGTGTATGGCAGAAGCGCAACTCAAACTAACTTCAAGGATGTAAACAAGGCGTCATCTAGTGATGTCGCTGCCCTAGTAACTTAGCAACACAGTACCACAATTTCAACTGTTACACTATGTGAAATGACAGTCCATTGAAATGGTGCAAACATTAATGACTTTTATTTTCACAGGTACCAAAAACATTCAATAAACAAGTCACACATGTCGTCTTCAAGAATGGTCATCCAGCCACATGGAGGAATGCCAAGAAAAGTGGTGCCAGGCTTGTTTCCGTTCTCTGGGTCAGCAGGTAATCATCATCATCATCTTTATTGCCAGACTCAGGAGTCCATTAGAAAACATGACATTGAGTGAAAGCAAACAAAATAAAAACTCAGGGTAAAAAGACAAACAAACAGACAAAACATCACCATTTTTAAAAAAGACAGCTGTACCAGTGTCGCCACAAGGCCGACTGGTATCACACAAAACTATGACTGGGATTTGTCAACAGCATAATGATGGAATTCTGAGAATCCTTCAATCGGCTGATAAATTTGCACATTAAGTTTTTCACAAGAGCCTGAAAAGTGTTAAGTCCTGCATTACAAAATAGCTCACTTGTACTAGTCCATCAAGGTTTTTTTAAATAGTATTCTCATGGAGTCATTATATGCATTATATTTATGTATCACCAAGAGCTTTTAAATATACAAATCTTGTAATTTTTTACAGCAGTTTGACTTTAATGTCTTGACATGGATTTATTATTTTTTTGTCCAGGTGTTACGAGGATGGCGTGCGTGTGGATGAGGAGTTGTATCCGGCCTTAAATGATGAAAGCAACCCTGTGTTAAAGAACAGAAGAGTGAGTACAGTCAGGTTAACATGTGATGTTTACGTTGGTGTCAGAGGTTAAGCCGTCATTGTTAATCAGTGTTTCACCACTGTTGTCAAGCCGCAAATTGTGCTGACTCTGAGATACGGACAAAGGTTGGACGCTGAGCTGATCAGATTCTGTGAACTAGGTGTCATGTGGTTCACCAAAGTAAAACTATTCATTGGTATTTTTATAAAAGTTAGCCACTATTATTGATAAGTTCTTCATCAAATTGAATTTACTGGAACCACTATTTTTATTTTACCTCCCTGGAGCTTCCTATTATACAAATCAAATTTGTTTTCCACCGTTTGATTGAAACTTTCTGATTTCATTAGAGCTACATCGCTCAAAATGACTTTCACTGTTGGGATTAATTCAATTTTCATATTCTGATTTAAAATTCATAAAATTGATGAAATAAAATTGACTTTGAAAAAATTCCATTTAGAGTCTAATTTTCAAGAATCTTTTTTTGTGTTTGGATTACGTAGCATCGTAATATGCAGCCGAAGGATTCTCCAGAGAGGACACCTGAAAACGACAGACGCATGAAGAAAAAACTAGACAAGATGATGAAAGACCTTCACCCTAAACAAGCTCTGGGTATGACAGGTTTACACCTTTTGGAAACTTAAAAAAAAACAAGAGTATGTATGAATGTTGACATTCATTTAATTGTCTTTCTCCACAGTCACAGAAGTGTCTCCCATCATTATTGACGAGGAGAACGGAATAGTTTATAGCCCTGCATTGAAACGATCGGATTATATGGCTCAGCGTTTGAAGGACATGAAGGAGAAGCGAGAGAACCTCTCACCCACAGGTATATGAAGCGACTGATAAGGTCTCCAAAATATGAAATACCCTTTGAGCATTTCAAATTCATATATTTCTGGGGCGCCGGTAGCGGAGTGGTGAGCGTGCGCGCCTCCATGTACGGGCAGCCCAGGTTTGAATCCGACTTGTGGCTCCTCCCTGCATGTCATTCCTCCTCTTTCTCTCTCTCCCTGATTTCCAACTCTAGCCACTGTCCTTTCTCTAAAATAATTTAGAAAAGTCCCCCAAAAAATCACATATTTCTTGTTGTGTTTCAGCTTCACAGCTGGTTGAAGCCCGCTCACCCACTGGACTGAAGCCTTCCCTCGGGAGCACACCAACCGTCTTCAAATTAAAGTGTAAGAAAAACAGAACTTTGCAGTTACATTACTGTCCCAAATAGATTTTTAATGTTTCCCCTTTTTTATTTTGCAATTGCAAAACTATTTCAGAAATTTTGCATACAACACTGAAACCTGTTCCCCTTTTGGTGCTGTATTACAGCGTCTAATCCGTTTTCCAAGCTTAATGAATTACAACAACAACTTTTATCCTACACACATCTTCATTTTTTGAGGGAAAACATTAAGATAAGCAACAGCTACAACTGTTAAATTATGACTGGGAGATGTTGCAAAATTCAACTCTCACTATCAAATAAAGTGAGGGCAACGTAGGCACAACATTTGTACTGATCAATTGATGTTTTTAATCTTTCCCAACACACAGGGTGTATTTCTGGGGAAGGAATGAGATAACAGATTCCTCAAACATACCACATCAGAGTATTGATAATAGAGTCTTTGCATGCAGTATACAGAAAAATTTGTTTTTGATTTGCCTGTGTTTGCTAAAAATGTGATTTTGGAGATTTTATCATAAAAATAATAATCTGTGTAGTGAGTTAAACAACACACATTTTTAGGCCATTGGAGTTGTCGACTGAATGCACAGTAATCACCCATGACTTGATTTGCTTCTGCAGTTTAAAGAAATGAGAGGAATTCGATGCACTGAAGATTTTTTTAAGGGTTTTTATACCATGTGGTTTAGATTTAGAGTGGAGAGTATTCCCTTTAATCCAATTATTATTAAATGCACTGAGCTTGTCTATCGATAAAGCACATTTTAAAGACGCTTACACCCTGAGTCATTGTTATCTTTTCTTTCATTTAGATGACCAGTCGGATGATGATTCGAGTGCTTCTGCTGCTGAACCAGGTTACTCACCTGACAAGGAAGAGGGGAGAACAAAAGTTGTTCCGACCAACCATAACCGTCATGATCTCCGCCGCAGGAAAAGCTCTGAGAAGCCTTGGCTGTCACCCTGCCGCGATGTACCACAGCGGATTCCAAGTCCATTGAAATGCCCCGAATTCAAAGACAACGAGGACGATGTAGGGAGTACACCAAAAAAAACAAGACGGACCTCAGTGAGAAAAAAGCTAGCAGAGACACGTACATCTGTAGGTTTGATGGAAAGCTCTCGTCAGGATAAGAAATCGGACATTTACAAGAACATTCATGAGGAAAAAAGGGAATCTCTGACAAAAACTCCAAGCCCATCTCCTAATAAATCTGAAAAGGGAAAGGGAAAATCGAAAGCAGTGAAATCCCTTAAAGTGACTAGGACCTGTTCTGTTTCTGATGCTGTGAACTCTCTTAGTTGTCTCTCATCTCCAGCTGATAATGCAAAGTCTAAAGAACCTTCTCCTCCAGTACAGAAAGTTCCCAAACGACCCAGACACTCGTTTTCTGCTCTGGTACGATCGTCCACAGCGTCCAGTGACTCTAAAAGTGTCGCCTCTTGTTCCACTGAAGGTGATGATCATGTGTTTGAGGACTGTTTCTCCCCCGCTAACCGTCGGAGAGCAAAAACGTCGGTTTTGTTTAATCTGCCTGCAATGAAAGACCCCTTCGTTCACATTCCTTTTGATCTGGATTCTGTACCACACAAGAGAAAACAAAGACGAAGTGAAACCATGGGATCTGAGGATAACAGTAAAAAGAAGAGAAAACTGGAAGAGGGTCGGAGTGGCAGAAATCGCAGACAGCCATCCGATGCCAGCAGTGAGCCTCTGATTCATCCACAACAGGATGTTGAAGACTCTCTGCCTGCTTTGGGTAGTTCAGTAGCTAATGTGCGACCTGTAGACAGAAGACAAAGCACTTTACCATTTACAAGCAGCTGTACAACCACAAGTGCTGCGGTAAAAAAGAGAAGAGCTTCTATATCAGTGCAACCGACAAGTCAAACAGAATCTAACGCAGAGTCCAATCCACAGAAACACTCTGCTGCCAGAGCCCCCTCATGTAGCTCGGAAAGTGAGTAGTATTACAACCAGAGTCATTACCATGAAAGCATTACATTGAATCAATCTTCATTATTATGCACTTAAAGAAGAACCTCAATTTTAATCATATTGTTAAGTTAAGGTTTCCAACTGTTTTGTAACCCGGGGAGATGTGTGCAAATCTTAAAGGTTTGCAAAAAAAACCTTTACTCAATGTCAAATTTTAAGTGAAAAATAAAGAAATAGAACTTCAGTACAAACAAATGGGGTCTTTTTAATATGAGTTTTCACATTATAAAGTGTATGTTTGTCTGTCTTTAAAAGTCTGAATTAGTTCCCAGGTTGAGGTTTTGAACATAAGGTGAATAGGATGTTCTCTACACAGTCTATGATATAGACCTGCTTCTGTTTGATAATATTTAACAGCACAAGGGTGCACCGAGCTCACACATCTCACGCTGAGACCTCAACTCTGAAAGGCCGTAAACAGGATCGGAAGCTTTGTGATTGATGGAGTTTTTGTATTTAAAGGTGCACTTTGTAGATTTAGTTGTGAAATTTGAAAGCTGGAGAAGGGAAACAATTCTATGCTATTTTTTTCTGAACTAAAAACATAAACTTTATTCAAAGAAAAAAATGGTCCCTGAACACCAGGAGAGTTACGCTTTCACTACCCACCATAACTCACATTTTATCTTCAAACAGTGTTACAGGGACCACATTTTCCTCTGAGGACAGTTTGTGTATAGAGTTATAAACATATCCCACAGAATCTATACACTTCTCCAACTTCCACATTTCTCTACTGAAACTCCAAAGTGCACCTTTAAGATCATTTCAACTGTTTTCTAAATTGAAGCATTTTTTAAATCTGATTTTACTAATGTGGACATGTTTTAGAAAATGTTAAAAAGTAGTAAGATAAAAACTACTTGAGGGATTCAATGTTAGACAGCGTATTTAATATTGTTTAAAACATAGCTGCAGCTTTAAATACTGCTTTTTTCAATACAATTATGGTGATAATGTGGCTGTTTTATGAAATTTAGATCAGAGGTTACACTTTTAGTTCAAGCTGCTGACATTTACTGTTCTAATTCTCTGCATATAAAAAGCTACATGAAACATAGTGTGTTTATTTAATACAACTTATGAGACATAAGAGCACCTGAGTCTATGGTTTAGTTAACTTTATCACAGAGGTTTTTGTGTTTTTCTGTCGCCAGCTGAAGTTGAAAATTAATATAAAAATCTGAAGTAGAGAATTGTTTGTAAGTTCTTTAAAACAGTCAAATTGAATGTTGGTGTTTTCATCCAGGTGTAAATGTAACCAAGCAGATAAGAACATGCATGAATGCACACAAACACCAAAGCAAGTGCCTGCTATGTGATAGGTTGAGTGACATCCCCCCCACCCCCCTCCACTGTTTTCAATCATATGTTTGTTGTTTGTTCTTTAGGTCGAGGAAATGAATGTGGCGTTGGAGCTGCTTTGACGGAGATCCTCTCTGAAGGAGAAGAGGAGAGTGTTCAGAAAATGGTCAACAGAACAACGGTAAGAACACGTCTTGATTAAATAAAACGTAGAAATGGTGTGCAGAGAGTTAGTTTAGTGACTTTTTGCACTTTATCTGAGTTTTTCCTGAAAATGGGTGCAGAAAGATCGTTTTCAGAAATTCAAAACAAGTCTGTGACCACCGAGTGTTTCCTCTTATAATCCTAATTTTACTGTTTAGTCGTATTCAGTCTCTTGTTTGTATTGAGTTTATAATGTCTGTGGCCAACAGGGTACCATGTGCACAGCCTAAACATTCTGAGGTGCGCAAAAATCCATTGCACACTGAAAATAACTTTAAATAGGTTGGCCCAGCACAGTCTTATGATTCCGTTTTAATCGTAAAAGCCTCCAGTCAGGGAGAGGGGTTGCAAAAACCTGTATGCATGACATCTACTTTGTATTTTACATATGAAGTGATGTTCATTGCATGAGTAAGAGTAAATCTATAGGGGGTATTAACTCAGCAGGAGGAAGCTTACTGGATTAGTACATATGCTTCTGTGACATTGGATAACACAATTTTAATTATAAATCTCTTTTTTTAGTTTTTTTTTTGGGACGTTTTTGCCTTTATTGGATAGGACAGCAGATGAGAGACAGCAAATGTTGGGAGGAGAGAGAGAGGGATGACATTCAGTGAAGGTCCGAGGTCGGATTTGAACCCACAGCCGCTGCAGCGAGGACTATAGCCTCTGTACATTGGGCGTTCAACGTAACCGCAAGGCTATCGGCGTTCCTAAATATTAATCTTTTTGCAAATTCATTTGGCTACATGCATTGTCATGTTTTAATGTGACATATTTCCTCCTTTCTGTGAACATTTTGGCGGTAGTCTAAATGTTTCATTGTTCATGTTCATGTGTTCCTTTATTAGAAAACAAAATGTGAATGTTGTTAGGTGCATTTTGTCTGTGTTCTTTAAAATATATTCATTCACTTGAGCTTTGACCTAATCTTTCTGAACTAATGCAGGTGCAGACTCTGACAAAACGCTGTGACACTCGTAGTTTTCTTTGATATAGGAAGTTTACAAAGTTAACTAAACACCATAGTCTGTGTGTGCGAGATTCCCCTCCTAAGCATTTCCTCCATAAGGTCACACACTTCCATGACTGTCTGTGTTTGACGCATCTAGACAAGAGGTTGTGTCTGCTCCTGAGGGTTTCCTGTGTTTTCGCCTCTGTGATGGTAGTGTACAACTTCCTCGCCTGTGAAATGCACCTGGGCTGTGTTTTCGTTACGCTGGTAACCTCAACAAGCTGTAGCTGAAAAAAAAAAGGCAAAAACATGACATCATCTCCCCCCCTCGGGGTCGGTCATGGGTTTGACTCCACTGTAGCCTGATCACAGAGATGTCATAGTTGTTCTTTTTGTTCTGGAAAGATCACGATAAAAGATGAATGGGCAAATATGAATGGAAAGGTAAACACACACACACACGTCCATGACGGGGACTCTGACGGGGTCACACCTGCACAGCTCGCAAATCTTTGAACGTGCGGAAAGTCAAGTAGGACACATGTCATGCTGCTCGCCTGTGGTTCAATACAGGGAAAATGTGCAGTTACATTTAAACTTAAAAAATAGGAGGATTCTGAAATACTTTAACTCAGATTACAGGTTTTTAAATACAAAAGTGAACCGCCTTTTGGGCAGTTTTTGTTCATTTTCAGAACATTATAAATGCTCGATGATAGAAGTAGAGGACGTTTGGCGGTGTCTTCTTTGCCATAAATGTAAAGCCTTATTTTAGGTTATCATCAGAGTGTTTTGGTTGACGTAAATTTGCAAAAATATGTAGAAAATGCAATAATTCAACAAAAACAAAAACCTTTTTAAAATGTAGATGTGAGGTGCAGGTGGCTGAGTGGTTAGTTTGTGCGCCCCATGTTCAGAGGCTGTAGTCCCTGATGGTCTGCAAACTTCCCTTGTAAAATTTTACAATTCTCATTTAAGGTCATACTTTAGTCATGATGAACTTTTCCCTTCTCCTTATCCACTCCTACTTCTCTTTATCTACCACTGAAGGTAATTTCTTTCTAATGCTTGAGCTGATTAAGACCCTCATTATCCCCTCAGCACGGTTGTTAAAAAAATAATCCAACAAGATTAAAGCAAAGGTTAGGATCAAATCTTGAAATCGGGTTATTTAAAAGGAAAAAGGGATGACATAATTGGGTAAGATTATCCTGGTTTTTTACCCAGTTTGTGTTGCTGAAAATATTTGAGTAGCATTTGGATTACTTTGATCGAAATCTGATCCTGATCCAAGCAGAGATCTGGATTCAGTCTGTATTTCAGAAATTTTACGTAAGGAAACTATTAAATTGTCCAACTACACAACATTTCACTTCGAAAAATCTATTTTGCACTAGAATTAAAAATAAAATGACTCCTGGAAGTTTGAAAAATCTGGTGAAATTTGGTTAGCTTAACTGTTAAAAAATAAAATAAAGAGGAACATCTTGTAGGATTCCTCCAGTTTGCGCTTCAGGAAAGGTTAAATTGATAAAGTTCACCACAGCACATAACAGCAGCTGTGTTGTATTTTTCAGGCTTAATGATGTGAGGTATTTAAAAGTACGGCTCCGTCTGGTTTTATTACTCATTTCATAACTGCTATTTGTAAATGGCTCCCTAATTTTAGAACCGCGATCCTCTTCTCACTTAGGTTTTCTGAAAAGCATTGTTTTAAGTAGCAGCCATGGAGGAGACACAGTCATACGGTGAAGAATTTCCTTCATTTGTGCTGGGAGCGCTGCTGCTCGGAGGCCGTGCTGCCGTTCACACCGGCTCTTTGTCAGAGGCTCATTATGTGAGTCTCATTCTTCACTGCCTGTTTTCTTGTGCTGCTGCCAGAACATGTTCACAACAAAAAGTCCCCTTTGAGGAACCTTTAGAGTAGCTCCATATGTTTTGAGTTGTTCGACTTCCTTTGAAAGACTTCAAATTAGCAGATTTTATGGTCTTCCCTTTTTGCAATTCTTTAGTTGTGTGGTAGACTACAACCTCGTTCTGGATCATTGAGGAGCTTGAATATGAAACTCGTGTCAGGAAAACATCAATCTGTGTTTGATTGTAACAAGCTCCATGACTTATCGGCCATAATACGGGGTTTGACTGCTGTGGGAGGAGCTGGGCGACTTATTTGGCGGCACTTTGTTCAGCAGGAATCAGCCTGTGATTTCCAGCAGCACGGCCAGACATCAGAGTGTGTCAGGAGAGAGCTCAGTGGCAGCTCAGGTGTTTGTGCTGATGATAGTTTTCTGAATTGGGCCCAAAGTACGAGGCTGCATTGGCGGCAGTCATCAGGTTGCAAATTTACAGTTCCGTTTCAGTGATTCTGAATATGTTTTTCTCGGCTGATGGCCTTGGTGTTTGATTTCCTTTTTGGTCTCTATGCAGCTGTATATCTGGCGGGGTTATTGAAGGTGCACGGCCCGTCTGGATTTTGAAAAATGACCCTTTTACCTGTTTCTATTATTCATTAACTTGCTCACAATACATACACACAAAAGAAACATAAAACACGTTCTATTTCCTGGTGTCTGAGTATTTTTATGTATTTATACATACATAATTATCTTGTGTTCTTCAAATTGATTCTTCACATAGATTTCACAGAATTCACGCCTTTATTTTGTCCTACAAATAAACTAAAAATAAGCTTCATCTGTGGTCTCCAGTTGTTCCACTTCTCTCTTATTTGTTTGCCAAATGTGAATGTAACGACTCCCCAGAAATAGAAGAGGTGTGAAAGCTTTGAAAACAGACCTCTATTAATCCAGCCTCAAGCATGTGATGCTTATGCTTTATATACCCTTCCATAAGTTGTGTGTTTATGTTTGTTTTTCAGGCTATGAGGACAATGGTCATGACGAGCTTGCCCACTGAGTAAGTACCGCAAACATTTTTGAAGTTTTTCTATAGAGCTCAACTGTGACCGGCCACTTTTGAGCACCAGCTCTGGTTTCCAACAGTTAATTTCCCATTTAAACCTCCACTGACATCTCTTACATTTCTAAGTTGGCACAGCGACAGTGTCACTGTAGTGTCATCGAGTAAGAAACTTCGATCCCTCCCCTGGCCAAACGACTCCCGTCTTCCAGGACAACACTTAAGAACAACAGAGAGGAGGGAAGAAGAAAGAGATGTTTTACAAACTCTAAATATCACTTAAATGAGGATATGCCTTTATGAGAGTGTGTTCATGTTGGTGATTTACTAGGCAGTGTGCAGATTGGAGGTTTGGACTGAATGATCCCCTTGTTGGTCAACTCTTTCTCCAGGTCTCCCTGCCAGACACCAAAGATGGTACATCTCATCTATGGCCCGCTCCGACAGGTAGTCGTCATCATCATCTAATACAACACATATAAAACAGTCAATAACTTCCCATAGGCACAGACACACAAAAGAGCTCAACATCATCTTATGATAGAAATGCCATTTATAAACGTGTATGTGATGATATCTGATAAGAAACTGTCTTCTTTGTGTTGGTCATGCAATGTTTAATGTGTGGAGCTGCTGTCTTTGTGCAGACAGTGAACCAGTTACACATCAGAGAATATCTCAGTGATCTGAAAAAGATGGAACCCTCTGCAGTAAGAAGTCCACAACATGTCTTCGATGGTCGTGATTTGTATTCAGTCTTTTTTTTTTTTCTCCTAGGCTTCACGTACATATTGTTTCACAATATTTGGAATGAAAAAAATCAAATAACGATATGCAATTTCTGAAAATAAGTAATATGAGCATGCAAATAATAATAGTAATAACTTACTATATAGCACTTATTTAAACAAGGTTACAAAGTGCTTCACAAAATACACAGAATAAAACATTGTCGAGTAACAAAATTATGAATAAGAATTAATTAAATTAAGTAAAGCAGGACATGAATTACTAACCAATCGTTAAAAAGGCCTTCCTATAAAAATATGTTTTAAGCAAACATTCAGCCAGCCTAATGTGCTAATGAAGTAATGAAGGTGCTGTTATAAAAGTTATTAAAATACATTTTAAAATCAATCCTGTATCCTAATGAACAACGATTCATAGTAGGCTTTAGATAAGAACTGACTGCTCGTGAAATGTAATGTCATTACTTTAAAGGAAAGGTGTCTTCTGCTTTGAAAAAAGTACACACTTCCTCAAATTTTGAATAGTTCCCAGGAAACTTCCCGCAGGACAGCCTATTAGATCTTCTGAGTATCGACTTGGCAATAAACACTTCATTTTATCCATTACTCAAATAAACGTTGGTGCCAGTGTGCTTCATCGAAGCCCCCCCAAGATAAACAGTTCTGCTTAAAGAAGTTGTAAGACTATAGTCAAGATGAAGAAGGTCTCACAGGTTGTGTTTGTGTTAACGTGAGTCATACACAATGTGTGTGTAGTTGTCGCAAACCTTTGCAAAGGTCACTGATGTCCTCTGGGAGCTCCAGATGTGCACAGCGCAGAGAAGAAGAGAACAGGCTAACAGGCTTCTGGAAGGGGGTATAGAGGCAGGAGACGCCATTAAACACAGGGTCTCCCAGCAGCTCTGCAGGGGTCGGCCTGGAGGTCACATACAAAGACATTCAAGTTATAAAAGCAGAATATCCACAAACACAGAGTGCTAAGTCGTACGAGAACTTAAATCTTATGATAATATTTTTATTAAAACACTGAGCTGTTTAAAGTCATATATTTTTTTTGATCACATTGTCAGGCAAAAAGTTCAAACTGTTTATTTTGGCATTATTTCTCTCCTGCTGGCCTTTCAATATCTGTGTGACCAAAGTGTTTTTAAACTAAATGGCTTATGTCCTCCAACAAGATATGATCCCCACCAGACCCTCTGTGTACCTTTTGGATGGGAGAAAGGTCAAGCATTTCCTTAACAACTCCAGAACATTCTCTGGCAGCTCCTGTATAAAACAAAAACAAAGGCCTGATTAGATACAGAACACACACATAAGGGTTGTTTTCCCATAGCCTCACATATAAAATCCAAGAAGATCAAAAAACACTTTTCTAAAACTCGTAGTGGAACCAGATCTGTGTGATAACAGCATTTAATCAAGCAACCTAGGAATTTAAATTAACTGGATAGGATCAAATCTTTAATCAATTCGGTTTCTAGGAAGTGGGAAATTACCTAAACATTGTTTACGCTTTCATCCAAATGAACACTCAGAGGCTCTTACAAAATCAGTTCTCCACAGGGCTGGGTATCAAACAACAACACTTTAAAATATCACCTTCGGCACTGCCTTTAAAATCTTTTTTTATTATCCTGGGAAGTAAAATTGTCAAATATATTCAAAAATGTAATTACATTAGGATTTTTGCTTATCAGGTATTTCCTGATCTAAATTTGAAGATCTGTCTCACCTAAGACTTTGTGTTTTTAAAACAGATGTCTTAAATTCAGAATGAAGGTATCGTTCTTAAATGACACTTTTTTTTTACAATACTTCCCTGTCCTTTCAAAACTACACCTTACTGTTATGCCAATGTTATCAACCAAATTTTCCAGCAGTGCCTATTAACCTCCTCCCCCCCCCCTTAAGTTCTACAATTAAAAGGACTTGTGTATAACGAATTTCACTGAATAAGACCAGGGAAACAGATGATGTTGAGTCTACCTTTATGGTATCCAGGCAACCATGTTCCTCGGCAAGGACGGTGACAATGTCATCCATGCAACCTGAGAATCAAAAACAATATAACAACACAGGACTAATGGAGTATAAGAGCATATGGCTCAGTACTTTAAGTAATTAAGTCCTTTTCTCTTACCCAAGTTCAGGATGAATTTCAGTCTGTCACTTATATCAATATTCTGCAGCAGTCGTCTGCCCTGAAATGTAGTCATAACATCAACATCAAAAATATCGTAGAAATGTTTAATTTGTGTATAAAGAGGTTAATAAAGGAAACATACTGCACACAATTCAAAGAGTAAAACTCCAAGCGACCAGACATCAGTCTTGGGTCCTGAGGGAAGAGGAACCTCATCATGGAAGAGTCACTGGGATGGAAGGAGCCCTGAGCGATCACCTCGGGAGCAAGGTATGATGGTACCTGAGGTCATGACCACAGAACAGATAAGCTTACAAGTTAACCTTGTCAGCCTCAGATTTATTCTTATTATTTTAGATACCAAGTATGCATCATATAAAGAAAGCAGGCTGAATGTAAAGCTCAGTGGGAAACAACATCAGATAATTTCTTGTTTATGAATGAGGTTTTTTTTTTCTTTCACATTGTTTCTGTCATTGTTAGTGTATGTTCAGTTGTCCCTAACACCAACCAGCATATTTGTTTGACAGATACATTCATTACATGTTCAAACCAGATGTTTTACTGGAAGTCATG